GAGAGAGAGAGAGAGAGGGGGGGGGTCTAATTGAAAAGGGTGCTCCTGTGTGTGGAGCAGGAAAATGAGGCAGCGCGCCTTAAACTAGTGCCAGCAGTGCCAGCAAGTTCAAGAGGTTTCGCCTCCCCTGCTACCCGGCGGCGCACGTTTACCGGAGACACATGCCTCTTTCCCCTTCCCTCCTCTTCCTCCTACCCCCCCCCCCCCCTCTCTCGCACACGCACACACTTCATAGGGCGCGAGCGAAAAGTACGTTTTCTGGCTTGAAGCCTCTGCGACCTTACCGAGTGAAGTAATTTCAGGTTCAAGTAAGTCTTTCAGTGCGCGGTTCTCTGACTCTGACCCTGGTGCCAGAGGGAGCAGCCCGCTAAACACGTGCTGTCGCGCTAAATGATAAGCCGTGTTAGTGACCTCGTGCCGACACTAGTGCGATAAGTTTATCGGTGCAGCCCCGGGAACGCTGCCTCCCCCCCCCCCTCTCCTCCTCACCTGGCCTCACGTTTGTGTGTCGTGTAGTCGTTTCGATTAGAAACAGAAAGCACGGTGCTATGTAGTTACAGAAACTGTCCTCATATATTTAGAAATTTAGTGTACGCTGACCCCTTTTTTTGGTGAAACGAAAAACGAAGGAGGATTCTTATGAAAATCACCCTGAAAATTTTACGCGGGAATTGTCTGGGTCGCTCTCACCGAGGCGTTCGCCGAGGTCACCCACACTCACTGCTCAGCCGGCTGGCCGGGGCGCGGCAGGGCGCAGCCCGAGAGAGGCCCCGAGGCGCCAGACTGGCAGGGATGAGACACGGGGGGGGGGGGGGGGTAGAGAACCCCCGCAAGGGTGGTGCGCGGAAAGACTGCTAATTCCAGCCGGCCATTGTTGTACACCACCCCATTGTAGGAGTGCGCGGGGATTCTGTCTCTCTTCTTCTCACTTCACACTCACGCCCCATATCTTTCATCTTCGTCTTCATCTCCTATCTCTCTTCGCCCCACCCCTCCCAACATCTTCTCTATCCTGAAGCCCCCGGCGCTTCGCGTGGTAACCGAGCTAGTGACATAGGGCCAAGTTTCGAAAGGGCAGAAGGTCTGTCGAGCCAACCTTCCCGAAATGTGGAGCTCTGACGATGGAAAAGAAAGGGCAAAGCGCACTGGTAGCCTCGAGAACTGAAGCGATTTATTCAGCTGTTCTCGAACTTGCAATTGACAACTGGAAGAATTGTGCAGCTGCTGTACTTTTCGGAAATGTCAACAGTTTAAAACCAATAGACGTACAATCTAGTTAGACACATGCATTGGAAAGAATTGTAAAGTGTTGTTGAAGTCTTTGCATTGCGAACTAGATCCTTCGCATTGCGAACTAATTCTTCGCACACCTTACGAAGAAAATTGTTCGTGGGGCTGCAAAGAACTAGTTCGTAACCTTACAAACCATTTCTTCGCAACTTACGAGTATAATAGTTTGCAATGCAAAGAAAATAGTTTGCAATGCAAAGAAAATAGTTTGCAATGCAAAATTCTTTCGCAAGAATTTTTCAGTGCAAAAATGTGTCTAGAAAATGGTTACCTGAACTTGAACATCGATGAATGAAACACGAGGTGGTATGGATATAAATGAGGTTGGGATAGGGGGAATATGGATATAAAGGCAATTATGGATGTAACAACTTCGTAAAACGACACAGTTTTTGTCCAGTTTCAGGGACAAATTTTTATCCGGTCAAGAGGTGCACACACTTCCCCGTTTAAGGAATAAGATTGTTCCTCACATTCACTAGATTGCAGGGAGAATTTTAAGGAATTGGGGCTGGGGGGGGGGGCATAGCCGTAGCTTATTGTAGGATAGAGTAATCAAACTTTGACTTTCACTGTTTTTCGTACAGAGGACCGGAAGACCACGAGTAGGCTTGGGCAGCAGCCCCATCTGGAGGGCACCACTCAGCGGATCTATAGAGCTGATTCCCGTCGTGACGGTCGGCGGTGATACAATGGAGCGAAGACGAAAGTGTAATCCAAGGCTGCCCTCTCCCCCTCTACCGCTGCTATGAGAAGGATCAAGTGGAAAACTTTGCCCTAATTTCTGAGGGGCCCCGCGTTAATTTCGGGGTGGACCTTCAACCCGGCCTTCCCTTCAACCGGGTGGGTAACTACGAGGGCGGCGTTGGTCTTGAAAAAATTTATTATCCAATAAAAATATGAGATAAAGGATGAGGGAGCGAGGGAGCCACAAGCAGCACCGTGAACTGTGAGGCGAGCTCTCGTCGCTGCCGCTGCCTCGGCCCCCTTGCCGATAGCCATGACCGCACGACCCCAGCATGGCTATGACAATCGGGCAGACTACCTGGACTTCAGAAGACGCCGAGGTTACGAATTGAAATCCACCAGGGCCGTCGTCGTAAACGAAGGTGGCAATCACGCGGAGCCCGCTTTCCCAACCCATCCGCCTTCCCATCCCTCCTCCTTCAAGGCTTATTGAAAGAACACACCGCCTCCTCCACCACCGCCCTCCTAACCGCGGCCACACTTCCGGCACGCTTTGTGCCCCGACTCACCACGCCCCCCCGCCCCACCCCAGCCAGCCCCACCCCACCGAGGGGTTTAAAAGAATAACCCTCTACGAACGGAAGCCCCGGACCGGACGGTGTCGCGGACGGTTTATTGTAATGAGCGGAGCAGCGGTCTGACGTCACCGCAACGCTCCGACAAACTCCGCCACGCTCCGCCACAGTCCGTGACACCCCGCCACGCATCGCCACGCCCCACCACCCGCCCCGCCACTCGCCCCGCCACGCCCTCGAACCGACGGCACAGACGTGTCGTCGTTTGTTTCAGTTATTTCTCTCGACTTCCGCCGTTTTCACCGGCAGGGGGGGGAGGCCACCGTCCGCCACGCGGGTCCTCTGGGGCTCCTCGTCAGCGCCGCGATGCAACAACTTTGATGTCTGGCCCCCGAGGAGCTGGGGCCGTGGACACCGCGGTGGTGGGGTGGACACCGCGGTGGTGGGGTGGACACCGCGGTGGGCCCCGCGGTGGGCGGCGTAGCTCTCGCTCCCGAAGCGCCCGCCGCCCCGGCCCCACCCTTCACACTCACACTGAACAACTGTGCAACTGGTGAACACTTCTTCCAAGTGGCGCCCGCAGCCAGCACACGGTCCGCAACAAAGTTGACGCTTGTAAACGCTATTCGGCTGCGTAATCACATGCGACAGAATGATATCGTCATCGCTTGGTCATCGCCCATCGAGTCTGACAAAGTTCACGGTTAGGGGTCATGATCACTGGAGAAACAAAGGTGCTAAGTCATGCCTTTCCGGGAGTGCTAAAGACATTTTTACTTGATAGTGCCCCTATAAAGACACCAAAGATCCCTAAATGTGGCAAATTTAGTGCTTTTGGCACGTTTAAGTCGGTTCTAGTGCTTTAGTCAAGGCTCTGAACCTTTAGTGCCCCGTTCAAAAAAAAATATGCCTTCCGGATGTCTCTTTCAGAGACATTATTGCCCAAGAATCCGCCGAGGCTATCACGCAACACCAAATCCTGCGCTGGGACAACTCACCAGAGACAGTCAGAGTGGCTCTAGAACAGATCCTTAAGGCCAGAACGAACCATTCTATTGCGATATAGACAGACGGTGCTGAACGCTTCGGTGTTAAGTTTTCTTGTGTAATCAAAGTTTTTCTAAACCCTTGCATTTCTGAGCTCTGTCCCCTTAACGAAGCATTATGAGGACAAGTACATACCAGGTGGCTGATTCACGCCGCTCACTTCTGCAGGTATACTGTACCGCATGCTCAAGTGCGGGCGGGTGGCGGGTCGCCTACTCTCGCTCAGCTCGTAAGGTGCCGTGGACGGGGGCGATATAGGCAAGCCCGCCCGCACTCGCATCCGGTACAGTATACCTAGAAGTGCGCGACGTGAATCAGCCACCTGGTATATAATTCATTCAAGCACGGGCTTTTCTGAGTGAAGCTCTAAGATATGAGGCTGAATGGTGGCTTCTCGAGTCTCGAGTATTGTAAAGTGGACTCACCGTTGAGCTCGTGAAACAGCAGCAGGGGGTAACCGCACCGCGATGGTGCCGCGAGGATCTCTGGCTCGGGCAGCGAAAACCTGCACAAGTGGTATTCGATTACAAAGCGGACAACCTCTTCAACTGGTGGAGATACGCGGCAAAGGGGGAATTCGAGGCGGAGAGGTAGATGGCGGAGGAGAGGACGTTGATGGGTCTCGGATGGGTTTTTTGCGAGGTGCGGCTCGTGGTTGGTGAGGGATGGCGCGTCTGTAAGCGAGGCGACACCACAGCGCACTGTTAAATTCTAAAAAATGCAATATGCTTTGCACAACTGCAACGGATTTAAATCCTTTTTAACTACGAAGATTTACTTTGCAATAATTGCAAAGCAATCCTCTGCAATTGCGAAGCAATACCAGCAGTGCTTTACACGATGCACTGCATTACTTTGTATATGCTTCGTAGTTACAAAGAATCAAAAATCCTTTGCAATTCTGTAATGCATTGCTTTGCAGGAATTTAACAGTGCGGGGCGGGCGGAGCGTCCCGGGGCGCTAACTGGACGAGGCACAGCTTGCGAAAGGTAAACGTGGGGAAAATGTCGATAATTCGGTTAGTCGCGTTGCGTGACGGCGCGAAGCTCGTGCAGGTGGAGGGATTGGGGAGAGCGAGAGAGAGAAAGAGCGAGAGAGAGAGAGAGATGGGGGGGGGGAGGGGCATGGCTGGCGGCGCACCCCGATCGTACCCCGCCGCCTAACGGCCAGGGCTCCGTCGCCCTGAGAAAGAAATTTGTGATGATCACCACCAATGGGTAAAGCAGCCGCGGCCCGCCCCCTGGGCCCAGCACGGCCACAAGGTCACGAGCGCAGCAGGACGGCCGGGTAAACGGAACTGTATCTCCGAGAGGACAGAAGAAGCAGGCGACGCAGTGGCCCACGACGTCGGCTCTCAGTCTCTGTACCGGGGAGGCGACACTCCATGGCCATTCCCAGCAGCCTCACAGCTGCCATGACAAGAAAGGCAAAATAGACAGCAAAGAGGAAATATGTTGCACGGGAGGCCGACTAACGAAATTTGTTTTGTGTTATTCTTTGTCGCCTAATTACTGTTCAAGACCTGAGGGAAAGGAGGGGTGAGTGCGGGAGATGGGAGGAGAGGGAAGGAGGGGGGGGG